TGCCTGATACCTATAAGTATATCCTCTACGTAACCACAATTTTCAAATATTTATGGGTTTCCCTTACGCTTGATGTTTCTGATTTTCGTTCAGGAACTGGACTTGAACTTTCTTTCAGGATTCTGTTCACTATTGTAACTAAATGTACCCTTCTGATGTGCCCGTAGAAGACCAATGTAATTTTCATAATAGTTGTCAAGATAAACCCATGCAGTTTTTGATTATTTTTGAATTTATTGCGCAATTACACAATTCTAAAAAACGGGTGGCCAGATCATTAGCCACTGTTGAAATCGGAGTTCAATTCCAGATCGATTCACGTACTACTTGCGGTGCATACAGCGGGTGAGCTTGCAAATTTTGTCGGGGTTCTCCTGCTCCGTATATCTCTTATTCAACTACTCTTCATTTCACATACTTTCATTCAGGCATCTCAATTGGACTGCCAGTGAACATTCAGGGTTTTTTTCCCGTGGCAGGTGCAGAGGCTACAGGTAATAGTGTTTGTGGACCTCATGTTTTCTTATGTTGGATATAAAATGCATTTTTTGTCTGTTAACTTATAGTACATATTTGTAAAGTTAATGATTGATATATTAAATGAGTTTCTTTATTATAGAAACTTAGTTATAGCAACATTCCTGAATATGATTTGAAGGCATTTAGGAAAGCTGAAACCTCATAGGTTTCTCCTTCTACCTTTGGCTGCGCCTCCGTTCAGGATCAAGAAATATTTAATATGCATTTGAGAGACACTGTGATTGAATATATAGTTATTAATTACGCGAAATGTCCACAATTAAAAAAAATTCCTGTAAATCGTATACCGCCTTGTCCGTCTCATTCGATGCTCGCGGGTGCATTCGATGGCCCCTGCGTCGCGCTCCCATCAGCCGCGGCGCGCGCGGACGCGCAGTCTCCGCGGAGTTAACGTCCGTGCGACGGCCGGCAGGTCGGCAGGCGCAATTGCGCAAGACCTCGAAGAAGCAGAAGCAGAAACCTGTCGCATAATAACTCGTCGCAGGAACGCCGCGCCGCGCCGCGCCGGCTGGGCTGCGTGCTGCACCTGTGAGGGGGGCGGGGCGGGGCGAGAGGCGGGGGACGAGCGAACGGCCGACGACGACGCGACGTGACGAAAGAAACAACAGGCCGCGAAGCGACGAAGCTGCAGAGTCGTGCAGCCGCAAGCGATACCTGCAGGTGAATCGTGAAATGGTACATCGAGAGAGCAGCATTGGGAGAGGGTCGGGAAAAGTGCATAGGGAGAGTGTGGGATGATGTAATGATGGAAGCAATCAAAAATTGAAGTGCAATACTATATTTGTGTGGAGAATAGGTGAATTCGTACAAATGTACTGCGCAGAATTATCACCAGCAGTCATTGGGGGGGGGGTGGAAAAATTGATGAAATTAGCTACAAGCAAAGGAATAGAAAAATAGCGTTTAAACAAGACTGCTCGAAATAATTTCAAATGTTTTTTTATAAACTAATACCAATGGTAAAGTGGTGCTGTGCTCGTTTAAAAATTGAGATTATTCTTTCAAAAGAGTGAAATTAAACTGTTGAAATAGCGTATTTGTTTCAAAATACCGATGGCGCGGCAATGGTCCAGAGAATCGCAAAATACACAATTACAGAGAACAACAATTGTACCAGTTAGAATGGAAAGTAAGTCTACAAGAGAATAATAGGTGGGTACAAATGAACGAAATATATGCGATTTTCTGTATATCTTTGTGTCTTTTAGAGCAAAAAACGGGAAATGCTAATGAGACCTACTTATATCTGACGAAAAAGTATTTCAGATTGACCTTGGAGCAGCTGGTGGCATTGACGGCCTCTTTAGTAGTCATCAAGGTGAGGCATGGTACAGAAATGAATGATACAAAACATGATAATCGAGATCATGGAATGTGTAATACTTAAGCACTATCATCTTTTTCATTTCGTATCATTCTATTCACCTCATTCATTTTGTATTACAAAATATGTGGAATAATATTTCCTATACTTCAATTAATTTTGCTGATAATATAGTGTACGTATAATAATATAGAGCCTAGTGCTCTATTAATTCCCATTACAGCACATAATTCAGTATCAGTGTATTTAGCAATCTTTTCCATACATTGGTAATAGCTGAGCCAATTATCTTGTTATAGTGTACATTCCGTATGTTTGATGGAGAAATCTCAGCATTTGCGACTGGAGTTCCGAAACTGAGACTGAATTCACCGGAACGATCTACCTGGACAAAATGCTTCGACCTTGTTCGTGTTCCTTGGTACACTTCTTTTTTTATTGGCGGGTGTCATTCATTGAAATTGATTAAATTCACTTAACTGCGAATTAATGTAACGCAATTACGAAGGCCGAATGGTTTACTAGAGCCATTTACGTCACCAATGAAATAAGTATCTTACACCAGTATTTGCCAGCATCTATGACTGCGACCTTGAATTATTTTTTATAAAAAAAGATCTGGTTTCATGGATATGTTTCCGTATTTATGAAATATTTTATAAATGTGGGCATTAAAATGTATAATGTAAGTGCATTCGCCAAAACATTGTTTGGTATCGCAGAATCTCGGTAATCCGAACCCCGCAAATCCGAAATTTCGGATAAGCCGAACAAAATTCGAAATGGAGAAAAAACAAACAAAATAAATAAAATGCTTATTTGTAGTGTTTAAAAAGGTTTTTTTAATTATTGGAGAACTGAACTAATTATTGAAACACAAGTTGTCGAAATGAAACGTCTATTGCACTGCTAACTACGGTGTATATCACATGTCTACGTACCAATAATTTTCATTTAGAGGAATTTACAAATTCAGTAATCTTCTTTCGCTGTAAGGAACTGAATCTGCTTGATGATGCGATCGTTACGCCACTTTGCCATGTTGTCATATCACACACTACATTGCATTGTCTGGTAATCCAATTGAGGTATTTGTGTATGTACTGTACGTTTTTTCCGATAATACGAACATTTCCGAATTCAAACAGACCACCCCTTTCCCCAATTAGTTCGGATTAACGGGGTTCTTCTGTACAAGCATTTTCTAACTCACAATGTACGTTATTGACAACTTCCTCGCCAGCAATATAAAACTGTTTTTCTAATCAACTTCATTAATTCTGTATTGGTTTAAAATACGACCATTAAATTAAATGTAGTTGTATTCATAAATGATATTTGAGTAAACGTATCGAGTGAACAAATTTTAGAAAATGCCTACCCTGTGTTGTCAGAAGCGAGAACTAATATCAAAATGACTGGCGCTCATGTCGTCCTCTGCGGTGACCGGTTTCGATCTCCAGTCAATCCTTGTAGAATTTGTGGGGGTACGTCAACATCCCTGAGAGAATTTTAAGTAGCATTTAATCTCTTAACTGAAAGTTGAGTGCTATCTTCGTGTCATTATTTTCTATTAAAAATATTTCTTTAATACATTTTTTTTAAATCATGATAATTTTGTCACATAATGAAACATGAAACTTGCAATTTATAATTTTTTACATATTGGGGGTACAATTAACATTTATAAACATATGTGGTGTACTTTCCTTAATCCCCTTTGAGAATCACTGATTTAGACGCTTTTATGGCAATCGTGTTAGTTCGCTTTGGACTGCCAAGTTCTAAACTACTAACGACTGAATGTGGTAGCAACTGATACGTTCTTCACATCCACGCCCTTTGGACCCAAACCGTTAACAAGAATTAACACAATGACGCAAGACAGCCGCGCTGGTAGTAATTCCGGCCCTGCTAATAAAGGTCGTCTCGGCCCGGACCAGGAGCTGGGCTTCCCAAACGCGAAGGGCGCCCGCGCCGTGGCGTCATGGGGCTAGGTGGGAGG